CTACTAATTAATGCGTGATTCAGAATTTATGGAAAGCGAATTAACACAAAAGAATTCTAAAAAATTTTGGACTTCTCAAGCAACGAAATTAAAAAAAAAAGCAACAACGAGAATCGGAAATTTCAGTTGCTGCGCAATTTCGAAATTTGTGAATCTCTCAAAAAACGAATTTGTGCCAAAGAAAGAATTCCGAAGATTTTTTTTTTTGGGGGGGGACTTGGCAGTTAGGTAGAGAATCGCAAATGGGGGAGGATTAGGTTAACCTAATCAACTTTTTTTTTTTTCGGACTTGGCAGTTGGGTAGAGAATCACAAATGGGCGAGAATTAGGTTAACCTAATCAATAGATCAATCAGTCGATCAATCGATCAATCAATCGATCGATCAATCAGTCAGTCAATCAATCGACCAATCATGATCAAATCAGATCGATCAATCAATCAATCAATCAATCGATTAATCAATCGAATAATCAATCAATCAATCGTTCGATCAATCGATCAATCAGTCAATCAATCAATCGATCAATCAGTCAATCAACAATCAATCGATCGATCCCCCCCTTTCGCGTGTCAGGTCAGGTTGGAGTCCTGATTCACATGCGGGGCTCCGATACCCACTGATACATGCTCAGTTGAGCAATGTATATGGAGCCAAGGATCCGTAAAGTGATGAAAAGGACTCGAATGGACGATGCAGCGTCAGCAAAGCATCAATAAGCAATGCACATCCCAATACATATGAAAATAGCACAATATAGCACAGCGGAAGACTCAAAGATATGACCTGACCTGTCAGATACTGACACGACATCCCATCGTACACCACACATGTGAGAGAGGGAGGAGGGACCGCATACATGGAAGAAAGGCCCCTCCTTCATGGGGGAGATACCACGGATGAAGAGATGGGGGAGAGGCGAGACGAAGATGGAGGTGAGGGAGAAGACCAAGATCGCGATAGCGAAGTCCAAAAATAGTCTCCCTGTCGAATGTCCAATCAATGTCTGTGACAAAATGTCGAATATGACCCTGGGCTTCATGCCCGATGTAACCTCTGCCTGTAACCTCTCTCTCTCTCTCTCTCTGAAAAGAAGAAGAAGAAGAGGAAGGAGGAGGGAGGAGGGAGAAGAGATGGAGGGCAAGACGGACAAGAAGAAGAATATGTTGTCCTCCTTGCTGTCTCACCTGCAGGTAACTGCCGCCATGTACTAACTGGCGTCGTGGTCCCTGTGCAGTTCGCCGGCGTGAAGCGCGGCTATGGCGCCCAGGTAAGTACCGCCGCTGCAGGTATGGCCTCCGCCTCACCTCCTGCCTACACCTCTACCTCTACAGCGAAGCGCTGTGTTGCGCTGCTCCAGCAGTGTGTCGCCCAAGAAGTGAGCTACTCGAACTGTGTGTCTGGTCTGGCCCAGCTACTTGTATGGCTGGGCCTCGTTGATGTGCCTGTGTGTGCTTCTGGTCCTGGCCTCAAACGTGGCCTGAATGGGTCTAATCCGGACGTCCAGGCCCTCCCTGGTGCTGCAGCAGGGAGTGTCCGCTATCGGACAAACGCGGACCTGGCCCCAAAGGGCCTGCTTGCATCTGTACCAGGCCCAGAGTGTAGCCTTTGTCCGAACAGACATAATGTTTGTTCGGACGTACTGCAATAAATAAATAAATGAATGCTGTCTCAAATCGAAAGAGCGGCATGTCCGAACAGACATAATGCCTGAAGTGCGTGCGACCTGGGGCCCCCCAAAATGGGGCCCGTGTGCAGGCTCAGCATGTAACACACTCACACACACACACACACACACACAGCGAGAGCGAGAGAGCGAGAGAGAGAGAGAGAGAGAGAGAGAGAGAGAGAGAGAGAGAGAGAGAGAGAGAG